TAGCAAATAAACAGACTTCAATATCTGTCAATTCTTCCCGTCCAGTTCTTACCAAGGTCCTCCCCAGTATAATACGACACACACTTTGAGAAGACTGGCCCACCTTTGCAATCTGGCATCTTTTTCTGCTCCATTTTCAACCACTACTAATGCGTTTTTGTGTCCATTTAAGAAAAGTAACCAGAGCCATTATCTTCCAAATACAAAGGTCAACCCTGTTCTCTCTACCAATTCTCTTCACAGCACATGACAGCTAAATACTCCTCTTCGTGAACTGCTCCTCTAGAAAATCCCCTTGACTTGCCTTCCCAGGTGCCACAGCCTCATCTATGCTGCCTCCATAGGAGCCCTGTCCGACTTCATAAGCTCATTTAAAAAGACTTTGGCCTTTTCCCTCCTGAACACAAGACTCACATAGCCATTATCCACTTCGGTTATCCTCGTGCCCCAAACTCTCCTTTCTACCAGCTGCTCCCTCCATCCTTCACTTAGTTAAAAACCACCAGCAGCATCTCCACAATTGCTGAAAGCCCCCAAACAGAAGATGCCCCTCATTGCTTTCCTTTAATCTCACTGGATATAGTAGAAGACCTATCTCCAAAATATATGGCCCCAAACAATGAACTAAACATCTTAAATCTGTTCACTATTTGCAACTTCATGCTGTTAGTATAGGTCTACCCAGAATGTGTTCTTTTTAGGAACAGTGTAAGTATCTGCTGATCACTGTGCTTGCAAGACCTTACTCTGCTAACATCAATTCTTCTATTCACCTTGGGTTATTTCTCTAAAACAACACACTAACTCTTTGTCGTGCTGACAAAATTCTTTAAAAGGCACACACAATCTATTCCTTGTCACCCCTTTAGCCCTGTCATAAAGCCTTGATTGCCTTTAGCCATTCACTACCCAGTTACGCAAAATACCATTTTCTGATACCTAAATAGTCCAGCATCTTTATCCCTAGTTTAGGATTTTAGGTCTTGTTAAATGTTTCCCTCTGGGAAGTCTTCCAGGATCCTTCTCTAGAGAACAGCCCCTGCCTCTCCAGTCACTCTCCATCCTAAAAGTTTATTTTATTCTCTATCAGTTATTATCCTAAATTACTTCATTCAGTTTGCCTTCCTATATATAATAAAATGCTTTCGTTAATGCAAGCATCTTGAAAAATATTGGTAGGCACTATAATATTTGTATAAAGATCTTAGAAAGTGCTGGGTGGTGGTGGTGGTGGTGGTGGTGGTGGTGGTGTACGCCTTAATCCTAGCATTGGGGAGGCAGAAGCAGGCAGATCTCTGAGTTCAAGGCTAGCCTGGTCTACTGAGTGAGTTCCAGGACAGCCAGGGGTACTTAAAGAAATCCTGTCTTGAAAAAAAAATCTTAGAAAACTATCTGAGCCTTCAAAACTGTAATCATCAGGCTGAGATTTAGAAGAGAAAGAGACACTTATTTTTATCAAGCACTTGGTGAAACTTATATAGGATGAATATGTAAGCGAATGCATAAACACACTATGATGTTGAGATTGATGATCAGCGACAAGGGCGACAAGAGACCACACAATGAGGCAGGAACAGTCTTTAAAATAAGCGGTACTAGGACAACTGGAGAGTCATATGCAATGGGATGCAACTCAACTTTCAGATCACATAAAATTAATTAAAAATAACCACATATCTAAATGTAATAACTAAAACTGTAAAAATTCAAGAAGAAAATATAGGAGTAAATATATAAGACATAGGGCTAGTCAATGAGACTTTGTATAAGATACAAAAATATGGACAAAAGAAAGACGATAAACTAAACTTCACAAAAATGAAAACTTTTTTTCTTTTCTAAGAGCACCATATCAAAGAGTGGGAAGAATATACAAGTGGCATAAAACACTTGTAGAAATTACATCTGAAGGACAGCTACACATTATATATGTGTGCATGTATGAAGAACAACTAGAAGTAAATAATAAAAAGACAAAAATAAATGGGCAAAGAATTTCAACAAACATTTCTTCAAAGCACATAGAAAAAAAAATACACCCCCAAATGCTCAGCATCATTAGCCATCAGGAAAAGGCAAGTCAAACCACAACAACAGTGCCATGCCTCATCCTCTAGGGTGAGGAAAATAAAAAAGAATACAAAGAATTCAAGTTCTGGTGAAGATGACAGAGACTAGAATTCTCACACCTTGTTGTCGGGTTCTAAAATGATGACCCATTTTTAGAAAGGAGTTTGAGAATTCCTCAAAATGTTAAAAATAGTCATCATGTAATCCAAAAAATGACCCACTCCCACACAAATCCTAGAGAAATAAAAACACAGGTCTACACCAAAATTTGTTCATACAACACAGGGTCCTGACAGTGTGAGTCTTAAAGCTAAGAGGTAGAAACAACCCAAATGCGGATAAACTGATGAGCAGGTGGGAAAAGGCAACATTTGCCTATTTGGCAAAAAAAAAAATAAAAATAAAAATAAAAAGTCGTGCTGATGCACAGTATAAATGGGGACACCTTGAAACCCTTAAGTAAAGAAGCCCGGCATAAAATGAATGGAAACATATGAACTATGAACCAATGGCTGAGGGGTCCCCACTGGATCAGGCCCTCCGAATGGGTGAGACAGTTGATTGGCTTGATCTGTTTGGGAGGCATCCAGGCAGTGGGACCAGATCTTGTGCTCATTGCATGAGTTGGCTGTTTGAAACCTGGGGCCTATGCAGGATTGTTTGGCTCGGCCTGGGAGGAGGGGACTAGACCTACCTGGATTGAGTCTACCAGGTTGACCTCAGTCTGTGGGGAAGGCTTTGCCCTGGAGGAGATGGGAATGGGGGGGGAATGGGGGGGGGTTGGGGGGAAGGTGAGGGGGACGGGAGGGGGGAGAACAAGGGAATCCGTGGCTGATATGTAGAACTGAATTGTATTGCAAAATAAATTAAAATAAATTTTAAAAAAATGCAAAAAAAAAAAAAAAAAAAAGAAGCCCGGCATAAAAGGCCACATACTAAAGCCAGGTATGGTTTATATGGCTCATGCCTATAATCCAAGCACTCTGGAGACTGGGACAGGAGGATCACAATGAGTTTGAGCCCAACCTGGGCTACATGGTGAACATCGGGGCATCTTGGATTACAGCGGAGAATGCTGTATAAAAATAAAATGAAAACCCCAACTCCTAAACCCAGAGACAACACACTATATGATTCCATTTAAATGAAGTTTCCAACATGCAAAAATCTACAGAAAGCACATTAATAGTTACCATGAGTCTATATGAATACATGTTACGTTTATGAATTGGAAAGGGCAGCTAACAGACATTAAGTTTCTTTGGGTGGGGCTTACACTCTATTTTGAAATTTATTATGATTTTTGCATTATCATGTATGATGTATGTAGGCATGCAGGCAGCACATTGTGCATGTGGAGGCCAGAAGTCAGGTTTTTAGAGTTAGTTCTTTACATGGGTTCCATGGATCAAACCCAGGTCATCACACTTTGGCAGCACATGCCTTTACTGACTGAGCCATCTTGCTTATTACATCTTGTTATGCCATGTTCAGTTAGTATCCCTGGGAGGTCTGCTCTTTTCTGAAGGAAAACATAGGACAAGTGGATGTCTGGGAGAGGGGAGATGGGGGAGGCTGGGAGGAGTGGAGGGGGGAGGTAACTGTGGTTGGAATGTATCCAGAGAGGTATTATGATGTGTGAATTATATCTCAATAAAAAGCAATTTAAAATAGTACAATAAAGGTATTAGAAATGTTCATCTTTCCTAATTTTGATTTCCAATTATGTAATTATATCTTGATGATATTCTACATTTGTTGAATGCTAGGGGTACACAGATGAAAGATGCTACAATCACCCTCAATGAGTTTCAGATTACTAGAGGACATTCTCTATAAATACTGGTTAGATGTATACAGAATATCGGACTCAACTGACATTCAGACAGCATTAGAAGAGAAGGATACAGCACACATTGAGAGAGAGAGAGAGAGAGAGAGAGAGAGAGAGAGAGAGAGAGAGAGAGAGAGAGAGAGAGAGAAGAGACAGACAGAGAGAGAGAGAGAGAGAAGAGACAGACAGAGAGAGACAGAGAGACAGAGACAGAGACAGAGGAAGGAAAGGAAAGGAAAGGAAAGAAAAAGGAGAGGTCATGGCTAGTCAGAACACTGCTACAGTTTTATATACACCACACACTTAAGAAGATTTAGTAATCTTGGAGCGCTAATCACTACAACAATCATTGCTATCAGGAACAAGTTTCCTGAACATCTGCAGCCAAGTCAGAATATAGCCTGTTCTCTTTCCCCTCCCCTTCTTCCTTCCCCTTGTCTATAGTCGATATCCGGTTGACTTGTGATAATTAGGTACAAATGTGATGGGTCCTGACTGATACCGAACAGCTCAGTGATGGGGCAAGCTCAGTACTTTCTGGCCTATCTTACTCCATGTTCCTGCTATATGGATGCATATTCAACAAACTCCTTTCTCCCTCTCGATAGACACTGTCAAGATCTCTTCTAACCATTCTAACTCTGGATGTCTCATCTTTTACTATGTGACACACAACTCTATTTAGTAAACGACAGACTGTCTACCTAGATGAATTCGGAAAGTGTCAGAAGAGGAGGGAAGGATGTAAACAACTGTTGTTCTGACTCCTTAACTGCTTAAAGGTCGTGTGTAAAAACCGGCTTGCTTGTAAAAAGCAGGTGCCTGTTGTGTGCTGGACCTGTACTGAAATTACATCCCAATTGCTAGGATTCTGGATCTGTAAAACTTTGAGGCTACTTGATAAAAACTCTTCTTAATGAATTCTGGGGTCCCAGTATTCTAATTTTGGTAAATTGGAAGTTCAATAAGAAAAGTACACATGGGGTCAATTTTTGTAGAAGCTGTCAAGTCTACAGCGGTGCATTCCAATTCTCTAGTATATCATAAAAGAAACTGTAATTTTAAAGTTGACTTCCTGGTAATAAAAACTACTTACTTTTGCAGCACAGGATCGTATCACCTCCTAAAAGAAATACAGTACAATAAAGAAGTATTCATGATTTTATTTAAATAAAGTATTGACTCTTTTCCAAACATTCAGACGTCAATCTTCTAAGAACCCAAGCCAGCATGTGAAAGTTTCTTTGTCATCCTGCTTTGTCACTCTGCATTCTTTCCAAGGAGCTCCGAACTCTGAATTCAAGAGACTGAACGACATTTTATAGTAAGACCAGCTCGCCAATGCCAAAGGCACTGACCAAAACTTCTGAGGGTCCAGTTTTGGTTGTCTCAGGAAAGATTTGTCTCCTTAATAAGCTTGGAATAAATATCAAAATTCTATCACAGAAATAGACCAAAAAGACAAACTCTGAATTAGCTGAAGTATATAATTATTACTATGAGTGAAATCAATGCCTATAATTTTCAAGTTAGCAATTTTAATCTGATAAAAATCTCACAAATACTAAAGATGGTAAAGAATTTATGACAAGTAATTTTAAAAAGCAGAAAAGGGACTGCTTATAATTCATGGGATAAGTCCATAATTATCAGTTTTGAGAAAAAAATCAATGAATAATGGATAAGTAGAAAATCTGCTACTATAGAGACAACAAAAATATTCAACTCCAATTAGAATTAATCAGCACTTATCATCAGCCCAGTGTAGTAAAACAAAAACAAAAAGCAAACAAATAAAACACCAACAATTCAAGTCCAGAGCAAACAAATGAACAAAGAAGCTAAGGAGAAAGAAGAGCCCTGGGTTTTCCTTTCAGACCCTGCATTTAAAAGACATAATAAGTCAGTGTCTCCAAGGAGAGCTGGGACCCAGTTTCCTGGCCTGGCCTCAGGCTACTCCTCAGTCTGGGTGAATTCCATTGCTCTCTAGGCTTCAAGTCCCTCCTGGAAAGGGAGGGTACTAACACCCTCAACTATCCTGAAGTGTTTGAAGATTATAACAAAGCATGTAAAGCACTTAGAAAAGTACCAGAAATACATTATAACAAGAATTGCTAACAATGAAATATATTACTTATCATTATACTTAACTCTATAGAATGAATTGCTATGCAATAAAGAAAAGTTAACTTTTTCCAAAATGGAAATAAATCATTTTTAAAGTCATTCACTTTTTACTTCTGTGGTTCTACTTGGCAAGCATCTCTGTGACCACAGAGCTGGGCTCAGGTTTATGTGAAAATTGGAGCAGTCTCCAGTGGTCCAGCAGCTAGAGAGATAGGTCTGCCTGTCATCTGAAGATGTTTTCTCATAGATTCAGGTCTATAGATCAACTACTTGTTGGATGGGTTAATCTTAACAGGTACCCAAGGTTCTGAGCAACTGTGGATGTAGGCATGAAGGCAAATCTCTGAATCTGAACATTCATAATGAGTGTTCACCTGAGAGGCCTCACCTGGGCTGGAGAATGAATGCCTTTTAGGTATTACTGTGGGAGCAGCTGTCAGGTCTGCAAACTCTGAAACAAACGACTTCTATGATGACTGCATGACAGTGCTCTAATGATGAGATTACCATCCCCCTCTATGTCCTCTCCTAATGATAAACACCTAGTAAATGCCTGCTGAGACAAATTTAGTATGTAATTTAAACATATACAAAGAATACCTTGAACCTGAGCTCTACTAGAAAACATTCTTGGTTGAGTAACAGAAGGCTATGTTGTGTTATTTATCTTCTATAACTAGAAGAATCTATAATGAAAATGGTATTTAGAATCTACTAATATATAATTACAAAAAACATGAGAAAAGACATCTTGACAAAGGGTAGGAAATCCTACCAACCTAAATGCTTATAAAACCCAAAAAGAATGAAGCTACTGTAGGGTAAGAATACATCTTACTTCATTCTTATACATATTGCTTTATGTACAGACTGAAAGAAAATGAATCATACATAACATAAAAACAAAAGTTTAGTAAAATTTCTCTAGGCAGGAAAAATAATGTGTTTTGTTGTTTTTAAGCCACAGACACTGGACAAAGATTTATTTCCAAAGGCAGCTTTTATATCAATCCAAGGCATTCGCGTTCTCTAATTTAAAAGGCAACTATGTGCTCAGAGCTGAACAATTAAGAACATAGAAATTTTCTTTCATAAAATTATTATTTCTCCTGTCTTGGATTTAATTTATTAAAAATACTTTTTTGACGTTACTTTTCTTTTACATTTATTTAATTTTCTTTTCCATCATCTGACGATATAAAATGGTATCAGAAAGCATGCCACAAGAGCTAGGTACTTCAGGAGGTCAGTGTTCAGACTGAGTGAGGAGGGTGTCACTGTGTGTAGTGCTTGGTGGTTCCTGTGTCAACAAAACCTTGTCACACATGGTACTAGACAAGGGCTCCTTTTTAAATTTTTTTTCTACTGGAGATGCATTTTTTCCCTAAATGTTAAAAAGTAACATATCTATTACAATTCCTTTTAATATGTGGAATTTGATTGGCTATATTAAAAACACTAAAATATGTGAGAACCAAAACACTGAAACAAATAACTTAAAGTCGTATGTTCTTAATCTTAACTACGTAAAATACAACATAAAAAACAAACAAACAGAAAAATCACCCTCTACTCTACTTTCCAGCTGGATCTAAAGGCAGCGAAGAGTGTGCACGCACCCTGGTACGCCTTCTGAAGAAGGAGAAAGGGGAGGGAGAAGGGCAGCCACGACTAAGGCTTGCAGCGTCATTTCTGACACGTTTGGTGTAACAGAGGTCACGGTGGGCAGCAAGGGAGGCGAGGGGAGAATATGTATGAAGAGCCAGGCTTGGTGCCAGCTGAAGAGAAAACAAGAGCCAGTGAGCAAGGCTGCAGAGCTGGTCCTCAGGGAGTGCCAGGCTAACACGATCTAAAGGACCAAGGTCAGAGGTGATCCATCCTAACACTTCCTTTTGAAAAAGTGAGCCTGGGGACCTACACTAACAGCCATCACATGAACAAAGCACCTCCTCCTTCCTGTTTTCACTGTGTTTCCTGGTGACACCCGGTTCTTTGGCACTTAGGAGTAAGAGAGAAACCTCAAAATATGGTTATGGAATATTGAGTTCCACTTGGAAGTTACAAGCTTATTTCTTTTATCCATTTCTTTGAGGTTTTACTATTTCCTTTAATGTTAAGTGTGTGTGTGTTATTTTACAAGCTAATGAGACTTTCTTTAATACACCTTAACATTTTCCCACATATATGTGTGTATATATGTATCATGTTATATATACACACATATATACATTTATATTGATTAGACAGAAATCTAAATATATTTATATCTGGGGAAGAATTACTAATTTTAAGATTAGTAAATCTTTCATCCATTTGCATAAGAGAAATATTTGCCAGCACATATCCCCAGGCTTGGGGGGTGTGTGTGGTGAGGTGATGCATATTGAGTCCTGGGTGCTGAGCATAGTAAGCAAGTACTCTGTCACAGAACTTTATGCCCATCTTCCTAGTTAGTAACTGTTTAGTTAACTTCTTGGTCAGGAAAGTTTTATTTGCATGTGTGACCTAACACGTAGGTTTTTCAGCTAACTTATACTTACATTTCCTAACATTATAGTTATTTTTCCCTTCTGAGGTATCTAGGTTTATGAATTTGCATCACAATATTTATATTATTTCAGTTTTATGATGTAATTACATATCTGGTGAGACAAGAACTGTCTTAAGTACCACCTGTTCTTTTAGCTGGCTCATCTGGAGAAGTCTGAGAGTAGCAGAAACACCTCTTGGCAGGTAGCTACCATTTATATTTACATGGTTTGGTCTCTTAAAAGACTAATCAATGACATACGCAATAATTTCATCCGCACACCTCTGTTCTTATCAACAGTAGCAACTATCATTATTATACTATGTCTTAGCCAACTGAGAAAGATTTACATTTAGGATCTTACTGAATCTTAAAAATTCAATTAAGGTGAGAAGTATTAGAATGCTCACTTCTAGAGAGGAAAACTGGGCTTACGTAATGTACTCGAGAGTCACGAAACAGGCATAGGTTAGAACCTGTACACCTATGCCAGTGCCTAAGCCCTTGGGCCGAGAGCTACTTACCACTCTTCACATGTATTCTTAAGCATGCTGCTGAAATTCCACCTTCTCTTATTAATTGGGTATTTTAAGTACCAACTTTTCCTTTTACCATTTGCAATACAGAGATTTTTAAAATTTGTCTTTGAAATTCATTTTTATCTTATCCAGGGTATCTTTTTAAATGAAATTCTCAGACCACCTTTTGACTTCATTAATTAAAATTCTGATTTATTCTATTTAATAAAACACAATCTAAATTACTGTTTCTAGTGTTTTGCCTATGTTGCCCTTTTCTTGTTAATGTGCACAATCGTGTGTGTGCGTGTGTGTGTGTCATATGTACATCGGTAGGTAGATGTGTACACCTCTGTGTGTACATTTGAAGATCAGAGGTCAATGTCAGATTTCTGCCTCTACTGCTCTCCATCTTATTCTTTGAGACAGGGTCTTTATTGAACCTGGAGCTCAGTGATTGGCTAGGCCAGCTGACCAGTGAGCTCTATGGATCCCGTGGTTTCCACCTAGTCTGTGCCGGGATTACAGACACACACACCACACCAGCTGAAATGTGGGTGCTGAGGAACTGAACTTCGGTCCTCATGACAGCAAAGCAAATGCTTTATCCACTGAGTCATCTCCCCAGTCCTGAAAGTCCCAGCGTCCATTTCATGGCACTCTTGTTTTAAATGAGATGATCATTTCTCCATGAATGCCAATCCATTTTTACATTCTGACTTCAGTCTGCCCAGTAGGTTTTATGTAGCTCCATAGATGAGTTTCACTTAGAATACCAACAGCAGTTAGGGAGCTAGCAATGGACTGGGGAAGAAAGGGATCTTTCAAGGAAGGGGAAATATGGCCTTATAGTGGGGTAACATAGAAATCAGAAAAGGGGGGTTAAGTGGGGTAGGAAATGGGAGGACAAAGACAAGGGGGCAATTGGGAGGGGTGGAAAACTAGCACTAAGGCCTTTAAAACAGCCACATGGAATCCTACTATAGAAACTTCCTAAAATATATACATATATATCAATGGAGTTCAGATGAGGTTATCGTAAAATGTGGGGAACAATACAATACCCCAACAGACATCATAACCTTCCAAATAAAACTTCCAGTACCAAGAATGAGTTGTATTTTTTGAGTCATGACTCAAACTTACTTCTAATAAATCAACATTATGTAGTTCAACTGAACTCAAGTGGAATCTGGTATCCCTTTGTCTAGTTTTTATTGACTGTAAGGGCAATTTATCCTGACATACTTAATGTCGTTGGCTATTCTTTTCCCATTAAAGTCTATAAGTTTGAACAGTACTTTCTTCTGCTTCTATTTTTAAAGACTTCTTGGTCATTACAATAGTTTACATGCAAAATTATACTGCATCATTTAGCACAAGCAGAACCTCACCCGTCACACACACACAAATTAGTTATTATAGCTTTTTATGTAGAAATTCTTTTAAAATAATAGAGATTTTGTGCATTATCTATACTTGCAAGATCTATAAAACCCGTCTTTTTAAAAAAATAGCTAATAGTAGCTTTGTTTATAAAACAAGGATACCAACCACTGTCATGCCAATGTTACACATCTGCTACACTTCAAGTCAAGGTAAGCACTTCATAAGTGTATTCTTAAGACTGACTAACATTATACAGTTCGTGTGCGTGTGTGTGTGTGTGTATGCACACTTACGTCACTGCCTAGAAGATTTGATACAAGCTGAGGTCACAGTTTACCCTTTGTGTTCTGGGGACTACCTTAAATGTAGTAGGTAATCAATAGCTACTGAGGTAGCTGTTTTATTTGTTCCAATATCGCAAGCTACACTTGGTCATCTCTTCCTCCAAAGGCAGCACACAAGTGTAGGGAACAGGGTACTGTCATAGGTAAAGCCCTTAGCAGCACATTATCCTCCATGGTGGCAACAGAGCAGTACCCATCAGAGAACAGGAAGGTAAAGGGTTAGGGGAAAATGTCAAAATGGGGAAATTGGAAAGATAATTAAGGGTATTGATTCATGTCCTAAAAAGGAGGACAGGAAAGAATGGACAGAAACAAAATATTAAACAGATACTCTATAGAGGTGAATCTATAGGAATCCAAAATTTTCCCTAGATCATCCACCTATACTGAATAGTGAAAATTAGCCAAGCCGACCCAGGACATAAATATGCTAAAATCCATCAGAACTGCCTTCAAGGAGATTACAGTGTAGATGAGGGGACAAAATGTGGGTGCACGACGTTCTTACGTGCTAGGGACTGAACCAGACTAGCTGTTCTCAACAGAGAGTGCTCTGAACAGCACCTGGAAACTTGCCAGAAATGAAAAACTCATAGACTAAGGCAGACACAGGAAATCAAAACCTGCAGGAACACAGCCTAGCCATGAGAGCTCTACTAAGCCCGCTAGATGACTCTGATGGACACTGGTGCTTGAGAAACACTCAGACTTTAGCTGTCAGAAAGATTTTACAAGGCTTTGAATGCGTGGACAGAAATATCTTGTTTAAATATTATCTGTTCTTTATGTAGTAGTTTCATAGTAGTTCTCAACATGTGAGTCATGACTCCCTCAACAAACCTCTTTCTCCAAAAATATTTACAATACATTTCATAACAGTAGCAAAATTACAGTTAGAAAATAGCAATAAAAATAATTTTATGGTTGGGGGTCACCACAAAATGAACTGTATTAAAGGGTCACAGCATTAGGAAGGTTTGGAACCATTTCTCTAGAAGTTTTGGCAGTGAGAATTCATAGGACGAGTGTCTAAACCTAACAGCCCTACCCTCCATGATCCCATCAGGAAGTGCTGACACTATGGTTTCTCTGCCTTTCCTAGTAATTACATCGTATGCGTGTGACACGTGCTAGGTATGATTATTTGGTTCAGAACCCTTCCTTATTACATCTTGAGCTGGTCTTTAAAGAAATGTCAAGTCCCGATAGCTTGAGGAGTTGACCAAAATTTAGTTTGTATGCTGTAAATAACGACTTCAGAACTAGCACTTGGAAAGAACTACATAAGAATAAGAAAACCATGTTTTAAGAACTTAACTACCTTCCTTACATTAATCTTCGTTGGCATGGCAAAGGAAATGGTTTTAAATTTCCAACTATCATAAACAAACAAACAGACAAATAAATAAACATACTGTGACAGTCTCGAGCCTCTGCTTCACAAGTTGAATCTTCCTTGATGAATTATTTTCAGTGTTGACTAATTCATCAATCTGAAAAGAGCCTTGAGGGGGCAGTTTAGGACAGGTGCATAAGGCATCCTGACTTTGATGTATACCAGGCAATGGGGGTGTCCCATTATAGCGTTTGAACATTTCAGCCTCTTGCTGGGCTACTGAAAAGAAAAAAGAACCGAAAATTAGTTCAAATACTCACAGCAAAAAGACAATCAAATACGTAAGTCATGAAATGGTAACATTTAACAAACGGTCAAGACAATCAAATACGTAAGTCATGAAATGGTAACATTTAACAAACGGTCAGAAACGGAACAGTACATTTTAATTGCTAGGCAACAAGAAGGTAACATGACTGGCAAGATAAAAAATTACAGACAATATGAAATCAAGGAAAATTTATAATTTCACAATTTCATGCCAAACAGTTTCTTAATTGAGCTTTGAAGGCAATGCAAATTGAGATGGGAGCCCAATACATACTTACACACATACTTACATATTTCAAATGCCTAATGATGCGAAATGATAAAAATAATCATTCACAAACCCATGTACCTAAACCCATTTTTATATTTTTATCTCTTCCAATTTTATACATGTGTCTATTATATGTAAAATATTACAATGCAAGTATAGTTTAAATTTTTCTCAATTTAAATACAAAAGATTTCAAATTTTTATAACATAATTACCATTTAAAATGTTTTATAATACCTAAGAATTATAATTCTCAAACTTATTCTCCTGTCACTAAATATTTATAATGTTTTGTTTTTTCATGTCGTCGATGTTGCATGAAAAAGTACTTTCATAGTTGGCTTTGTTTCTAAACATAATTTTTGTTTTGGATTTAAATCCCTCGACAGACACGGAGGTGGACGTTTTCTGAGAATAGCTGTAAACTATGGCAGCCAGTGATGAGACCAGCATTGCCACCGTACTTTAGGGTTCATAAGATGCACTCAAAGACACTCTCTCACTTGACTGGATAAATGAATCTGAAAAAAAATTAACCCAAGGAGAATAATACATAAAGTTATCATGTAAAACTATTTCCTTAATAATACAATATTGAAATGGAAGGCTTCCTAAAAATGACGAGAAAGGAAGGAAACTGTGTGTGCGAATATTTCAGAAAACCAAATTTATTACATTCCATAGATTATCCACTAGGACTATGGAGTCAGAAAGGGCCAAGAATTACCAACATTCTTATGGAAAATAGGATCAACTTTGTTTCATGAACATTTAAATCTTAAGACAAATATATCCCTACAATGATAGAAATTAAAAAAGCAAATGACAGGCAATGAGTTTTTATCTTTCTGAATAAAAATGGAATAAAAAAAACCAGATTTACTTTCTTGGTTGAATTCACCAAATAATGAAGAAAACACATAAGAGAAAAAAGAAGGAACAGATTTCTTTCCAAGAAATATTTTTCTATGTAATGTAAGACAGGAGAGAAAACTGAGGCGCCTAGGGAACAAAATTTAAGAGGACATTTATTCCTTAATCCTAGGTTTAGATCTCTGTAAAATATCTGAATGAAATAAAAACAAACAAACAAACAAACAAACAAACCCCTCATAAGCCACTAGAGCTAGGAAGTGACTTCCTTTAGGCTGCAGCACATGAAAAGAATATACAAAACTTAACCGGCCGGCCCCGATCAACAGAATGGAGAACCCAGCACATACATAGACGAGGAGTAATTATTAAAACCGGGAAGGACAAACTTGTCATCAAATGGCTATTCATATGAGAAAAAAATGAACTTTGAGCCACACCTCATACCATGCATTAAAATGAAAATGAAGCCCAGATGCAAATATAAAGCATAGTTACAAAAGTTCTAGAATGAAACACGGGAAAACAATTCTGGGAGCTTCGAGTAAGCAAAATTTTCTTAGATACAAAATTAAATCCATGAGAGAACAAACTGATAATCTGTATCTCAAAATTTCAAACGTCTGTTCCTCAAGGTGCTAAAGTAATTAAAAGACAGGGTAAACCCTGGGAGGAGTGTCTGTAAATCACAGGCCTGAAAGCATTTGCATGCACAACTCTCAAATCAAAACTGAAAGAAAAAAAGGAAAAGAGATGCCAACTTAAGCAAAACAAAACATGGTCACCAATGTAAACAGATCCTGAAGAAGTTCCAAAGATGGCAGCCAGGCGCCTGAATAATAAGTAAAGCACTTAGTATCTACCACCTGTCGGCAGGGATGAGCGAACCAGGGCCAGGGCAAAGCAGCATGCCTGTCTGTGAGAATGGCTAAAGTGACAAGACAGTGACCTGCCATGTCAGATCTGGAGAGGACCAAAGAGGCTGGAACACTTCAAGGGGAAATGCATTTAAAAAAAAAAACAACTTATTTATTATGTATAGTGTTCTGCCTGCATATATGCCTGCAGGCCAGAAGAGGGCACTAGAGCTCATTATCGATGGTTGTGAGCCACCATGGGGTTGCTGGGAATTGAACCCAGGACCTCTGGAAGAAGAGCCAGTGCTCTTAACCACTGAGCCATCTTTCTAGCCTCCGGAAATGCGATTTTTGTTTTTCTGTGGGACAATCTCCGTATAGTGAAGGCTGGCTTCAAACTCACCATCTTCCTGCCTCCTTTTTCCTGAGTAATAAGGTCACAGGTGTACACTACCATGCGCAACTTGGCTTAAGAAAATACATCTGCAATATGATCCTGACCTTTCATTTTTATGAATTTACATAAGGGAAGTGAAAGCGCTTTCCCAAATACAAACTTGTACAAGAAGATGCAGCAGCTTTGTGTGTAAGGACAGAAAATTGACAGAAGCTAGACGTGCATCACCCGACACCAGAAGCACAAACTGTGGTGGACCTCTAGAAGGGAGCAATGGCAGGCAGTGAAGAGAAGAAACTACTGATAAGTGCTGAAACATACAAGAACTCCAAAGTAATCAGGAATGAAAACATCCAGACACAACAGAGTTCATGGTCTCTACAGTAGCTCTTATTATAAACAATTCCGGAACAAGGAAACCAGAGTGCTTTCAAGGAGGGAAAAGCGGAGGGAGCGATTAAAACGGGGCACAGAGCAACGGAAGGATGACAGGTCTGCTCACTGTTTTGACTGGAGGAGGTGATCTTGCAAGAACATAAACTATCAAAGCATATATTTAAAATTCAGACAGTTCACTGTACGATCCCAATAAAGCTGCATACACACACAAAGCAAATGACAAAGCATAATGAAAGCGGTTCACTGCTCTTGGTATGCAGACAGGACCCACAAAAACCCACTTTAAATGAATAATCCGAGAGGAAAACAAAGAACTAGGGATGATTACCAAACAAGAACTATGTAGCCAACAGCTAGCAAAGAAGAAAGCGGTATTAAAATGCAAATAAAAATACGATGTCTTTTTTCCTGTCTAACTGACTAATGTATTTCAAGACAATTTTCCCTAAGAACAGAACAGATAAGATAGATATGCACTTAAACATATACCACAGTTACTGCATAAATTATTTAAATAAATTACTGATATATGTGTGTTGGTGTGTGTGAGAGAGATAAAATGGAATATCATCACTAAAATCAAGTGCAGAAAGAAAGTTATCACCACAAAAATACAAAATAGTTTTAAAAGTGTGTGTGTGTGTGTGTGTGTGTGTGTGTGTGTGTTTGAAAAAAGGTCTCTCTATAGTAGCCTTGGCTGTCCTGGAACTTGGATTGTAGACCAGGTGGGCCTGAACCTCACATAAATTTGCCTGCCTCTGCCTCTTAGGTGCTGGGATTAAAGGCATGAGGGACCACACCATGTGCTAGAATAATATATATATTTGATGAGCATAAAACATTGGGCTTTTTAAAGTAAAAAATCATCTATGAGATACAGCACCTGTAAAAAATACAGATTTTAATATCCACATACAACCTCATCTATGTAAACTAAAGAGATGAGTCAGCTAATACCTAGCATTCTCTGCAGACCATGCTGGATGAGTTCCAGAGGACGGGGCCCTGGAGGAGGTCTGCTGACCATAGCAAATGTCAATGACAGGTATTCCTCAGTACCAATTCTCTGTCTTTAAATGTAAGAGCTGCCACCCCCTGAGGATTTTTTTGCGCATTCCAGGTTTTTTTTTTTTTTTTGTATTTTGTACTTATTTCCAGAGTAGCAAGAACATTTACTTCACCTTCAATTATCCAAAGATAGCTTTAAAAATGAGCAAATGTAAAGCTGCAGAAAAAGACTACAGACAAGGGTCCCACAGGCCAGCATTTGGAAGCCTGCCTCTGGAATGGATAGGTTTCAGGGCTGGAAGTCAACAAACGGACATCCAGTTTGAGGAGCTCTGCCTTCTTAGCTTTGAAAACTGGGCTGCCAACCTTTAGTTATTTTCTTGTTGCAAGTAAAGCTGCATCTAACAACAGCCTCGCATTCTAACTTCCTAGATTTTCTGAGAGTTTGTATTTGCCAACCACAGTTTCATTTAACCCGAGTGAGAAGCAGTCACAAGGATGTCCAAGAAGCACATGTCCTGGCATCTTAATAAGTTAACAGGATTTAACTACCTTTTCTCTTATACTTTTCATTAAACCGTATTTCCTAAGTATTATGATATGCTAAATATCTATCACCTTTTCTCTTTCAAAGAAGATTTTTTTTTAAACTGGTAAGAACAGCAAAAGGCACTGACTAAATATGACCTTAACTTTTTCAAAGTATTAAGATATATTTAACAATGTATTAAAACATTGTAAATGGAGTAAAATGACAAACCCCCAAATACCCTATGGGTATTTATTTCTATGGAGCACGGTTAACATTTTATATATAAAAAAGGAGCATGGCAGAGGCATGGGCAAGGGGTCAAGAACATGTAGGTGGCATCTGTACTTACTTTAAAGAGTGTTCTAGACACTGAAATGCTTTAGAGCTTATCCCCACAGGCTGTCTACAATGCCCTGCAAAGTGGTGCCCCCTCCCTGTTTTCCTCCTATCCCACACTGTACTGCTCAGCTGAAAGTGTGCAACATGCTTCGCTACAGAAAAACCACTAGCATTTCCTACCAGAGCCTGGTTCATGAACTTTGCTCATACCTAGGCTCCACGCCTTACTTTAGAGTTTCACCGTCTCCTTTGATAAAATAGAGAGGTAAAATT